CACCCAACATTGCATAAATTGGGCCTAACTCTGATACCATGTTAGGAATATTGGGCCTAACTCCACCTAATAAAACCGGCTTATTAGGGGAGGATTGCCATCACCTTATTAAGTGGATCATTTATATTTTCCCAAATAATGTGATATTCTAATAGTATGTGCTTTAATTGTGTACAGGATTTCAGAGGAAGTATACAGTTAGCGACAGTTTGTGTACATAATTTTATCCAAGTGACTAGCAATTTGTACCTTAGGTAGTACTCTGCTATTGAACTTCAAACTGAGGTTCCTGCACAGGATTTTCTATTTATCTTTTGCTATCGAACTTTTTTATCTCTTTGCTGAAACCAACTTCTCCATATCCCAATCGTCCCCCTAGAGGAGAAATTCTGTTTATATAACTCTTGGCTTCCACAAAAAACAAATGTTAGCAGCGAGTCAGTAAGAAAGCCATAACTAATTATTTAAAGACGCTTGCTGCACTGTAATGCATCTCTCTCTTGTACTTTTCCCAATATGGTGCTTTGGATCATTCTATTCTAGCTTCGCCTGATCTTGAAATCTTATTGCCCACTTTTGTGACTTTTGGTGGAGCATAGTTTGAATCACGTGATCTAAAAACTTAAGAAGTTAGGGTCACATGTATATCATTTAAATAGTCCTCTTCACATGTACGTGGGGTTCGTTTTTAGCCATAAAAGCCTAACACGTGCACAAATGGATAACAGAGAGACTTGAACAGAAGATTTTTGCATACTCTGATATCATGTTGAATTACTCAATCTAAAATCTTAAGCTATTAATAGAGCCACATAGTTATCATTTAATTATTGTCTTCAAAATATAGGATCTCTAGGCACTTCGTTCAGCTTTGCATTGGAAAGATTAGACTTGAAGTGAAAGGAGTTGGTATTATAGTTTGTTCACTTGTTTTAAAGGACCTTCACTTTGATGATTTCTGAAAGAAATTGCTTCAGTAGGTGGGTGGGATAACATGCTTGTGTTCTTCGAAATGCAATTAAGTTTGACATCAATCCTATATGCTTGCTACAGCACCCTCTAATTATTCGACTTTTCTGGGTCCTGTATCATTACTATTGCATTTCTTGATGGGACTGGGTACATGAATAGACTCTAGATAAATATATTTAGCTTGTGAATCACAGTTCAAATTTATCTTATACATTAATAGTCTTCCCCGTGTCCTATCATGGACACTTGTGTGTCTGGAAGATTNCAAATTTATCTTATACATTAATTGTGTTCCCCGTGTCCTATCATGGACACTTGTGTGTCTGGAAGACTTGATGTTAAATCCCCTAGTTGACAATAATTAAATGATAAATATGTGGTCTTGAGATGTACTTTAACAAGAACTCCTGGATGTCAACATCTGTCCTTTCAACCCTGGTTCCAGAGACCTTTTGGGTTGATAAACTTGGTTAGAGGAAGAAAAAAAGAACCATTAGTTGCTGGAAGAAGTATATAATTTGAAAACACAAATTATATTAAATAGCCTAAAACACTTAGGAGATACTTGTGGTACTATATTTATTTCTTTTTGCATACTTTTAACTCCAGTCTCGGTGATCTTATCTGTGCAAATTTGATGTCCTCTGTGAATATTTAGTAAAATCCATGGTTTAAAGAAACCCCCACTTGAAACCCCCCTCAGGGAGAGGCTTGCAAAAAACGCCTCAAGGTACTGATTGTGAGGCAATTTTGAAGATGTAGGCCTCAGTTGTGTATGCAATACTCGCACACCGCCTCAAAGGCTTGTAGCCCACAAAACATAAAAATCCCAATCGACCCATTTTGAGAATAGCCTAGTGCCCACAAAAAACATTAAAAGTTGTGTTTCTCATTGACTCACTTTTGGGAATAGTCAACTGCACCTAAAATAATAGTTTCTTAATAGATTTTTCTTTTGTTTGTTTGCACACTTTAATTTTTCTAATGTATTATGAGTTTATTCTGCATTTTAACAATTTTGATTTTTTTTTTTTTAACAGAGAGGCTTACATCTCGCCTCGTGAAGGAAAACTGCCTCAGTACCCATTGTCTTTTTAAATATTACTAAAATCATTTCATAAATACTTGTGGAGGCAGCGATTGTGGATTATTGATATATATTTAGAGAAATCACTGTCTAGCCACATTATCTATTTAGAGAAATCACTGTCTAGCCACATTATCTATTTCTTGATTCTTTAGAATTTAATTGGTATTAATCCATTTTGCTGTGAAGGTTCAAGACAAAGGGGTCTGGTTTACATCTTATATAGACGTCCCTAAATATCGGAGGTCTGTACTTACTTCAGGCATGTTTCTCTCTGGTAAAACATACGATGAAACATCTAAGCAGGATCACGAAACTGGGGGTACTTTTGAAAATGCCCACGTCAGAGCAGCCATTTTCCACTTTGCCCAAAAATTTTAACCAT